ATTTGTTCCCGGGTTTTAACAAGAAGTAAAAGTAAAATAGAAAGGAGAAGATTCCTGGGATAAAAATAGTCCCGGGCTGTAATATAGAAAAAGAACAAACAAACAACAAGAAAAGAAAAGAGGAAATTCCCGGGATTACAATTGATCCCGGGACACAATGAAAAACCAAATAGAGGAGAATATTTGAAAGGGGATTTTGTTTCCCGGGATTTGACCTGTAAATCCCTATTGAAAGTACAAAAGAAAAGATAAATAAATAAATAAAAAAGGTTTCTTAGAAAGAAAGGAACTTTTAAAGTTCCTACACCATCAATAGAGCACTTAAAGTAAAGTCAACACTTGAAAATTTTTATTGTTTTGATAAGTTTCACATTTCTCTTGTTGAGTAAGTGGTATTGAACCACTACAGTGCAGATATCATCCTTCGATGAATATGGTCGATCAAAGAAGGATAGACTTACAGCATCATCCTCAGATGATGGATTACTAGTGCTCTGCTCCTCTTTGCTGTCAGAACTGGAGCAAATACTAACCTATTCATCATAATACATATTTGAAAAGAGAGCAATGTGCTGTTGGTATTATATTTTGGAGGGCGTAAATGTATTTTTTTTTTGTGAAAGAGTAATTTTGTATTTTTTTTTCTGAAAGAGCAATTTTGTATTTTTTTTTTGTGAAAGAGCAATTTTGTATTTTTTTTGGGGGGCAAGGGCAGTTTTCTATTTTTTAATTTAAAGTGAGGGCATAACTGCATTTTTTTTTGTGAAAGAGCAATTTTATATTTTTTTTTTGGAGCAAGGGCAGTTCTGTATTTTTTAATTTAAAGTGAGGGCATTTTTGTATTTAATTTTTTTATCGAGGGCAATTTTGTATTTTTTTTTGTGAAAGGGCAGTTATGTATTTTTTAATTTAAAGTGAGGGCATTTTTGTATTTTATTTTTATATCGAGGGCAATTTTGTATTTTTTTTTTGTGAAAGGGCAGTTTTGTATTTTTTAATTTAAAGTGAGGGCATTTTTGTATTTTATTTTCGAATCGAGGGCATTTTTGTAATTTCCCCTATAAAAATTTATATATCTATATGATAAATCTAAAATCTACAAGTATAATTCAATTTTTTCTAAAAATACCAACATTGTCTAATTTTATGTTTATATTTAGTGTACATGTCTTTTCACCGCTTTGATAGCCCCAGTGGCCAAGTGGATACGGCGTCTGCCTCCTAAGCAGAAGATCGCGAGTTCGACCCTCGCCTGGGGTAATTTAATTCGTGTGTTTGCGTAAAGTAGATAATTAATTTTTTTTTTTTTAAAATTTTAGAATTTTTTGATATTAAGTTTCATTCCCTGCAAACACAAAACTATCATCTTTTGAAGAACATTCACGAATGTTCTTGTTAATTTTTGATTTTGTTCTTCGAAAGTATTTTTTTATTCGTTGTTACTTAATTTACTAATATTTTTCTTTTTCTACCTATTCTTAATCTTTGCAGGAGTTTTTTTTTTTTTTTTTTTTTTTTAGTGGAGTTCGTCAAATCTGTATTTATGGCCTATTTGTATTTTTTAAACATTTATCGGTTTCTATTTGTAAATAATGAACTTTTTTTTTGTTTCACAATAAAATTTTTGGGTTCAAAAGCTCATATTTTGATTTAATGGAAATGTAAATTATTTCTAAATTAAAATTTGCACTGTAGTTCACGGTCGTCTTTCTTTTTTCACATTCAAAAACATATTTTTGTGCGAATAAGCAGAGGGAAAGGTTGATGAATGAAATTTAAATAAAAGAAAACATATATATATCTACATCAACCAACACCATCTTGGACATGAAGATTCGCCAACAGGAAAAAAAAAATTATATTCATATAAATAGAGGGAAAGAAATTAAAAGAAAAATCATATTTAAATCCAAAAATTAATATATATAGGAGAGACAGTAAAAAAGAAGTTTTGTTTTTTCTTTAAATTTTTCTACACAATATTCATAAATATTTGTCTATATTTAATAGGGCGTGTATGCCGGATACCCTCCACCACGTCCACGCAAACCTCCACGGTAGACACCACGACCTCGCATAGGCATAAAACCTCTGCTAGGGGTATAACCACTATAGGGAAAAGCCCCGTAAGGTGATGCACCAGGGACAGCGTAAGTTGGAGGGAAATATCCACCTCTACCTCGGCCTCCACGCGCACGATGTGAATGACGGCTTAATCCTGGAACATTAGTCCGTTTCGGAGTGACCTTTATTGGACGATTATTTAACATGGTATCATTCAAAGCAGCTGCATTTGCAACACAAGTAGGATCGGCAAATTCAATATAAGCAAAACCTTTTGGATGACCTGTGTATTTATCACACATGATTGTTATTCGATTAATGACACCGCAAGCTTGAAAATGCGCTTGTAGTTCTTCTGGAGTAACTGCATAATCCACCTAATCACAAGAATACATATATAAAAAAAAGGAGAAGAAATAGAAAAAAACAGATATATAAATACATATATATATATATGTTAGTGAAACATATACAAAGTGATTCATAAGAATGCAAATAAGTCTCTCCAAATGAGAGAAAACATGAGAACCAAAAAAAATCATAGCTTTGAAAAAAAAAATAATAATAATAATAAAATGTAAATAAAAATTCAAAACATACATTGCCCACATGAATTGAACGTTTATCGACTTCTTCTTTCTGATGATCCATCACCGTAGGAGCTAAATTCATATCACGTTCAACCTGTGCGTGCATCTCTCGTAATTTTATGGTTTCTTCTTCCATTTCCTGGACTTTTCTTTTCATAACTTCAAGTTCCTGTGGTTTAGTACGAAAAAAAAAGTGAGTATTTCAAAAATTTCAAAAAAATTAAAAAGTCTAATGTAGAGATTTTAATTTTTTTTTCGGAATAACACGATTAGAAAAAAAAAAAAAAAAACGAATGCATACTTCTTCACCCGCACCATTATCGACGCTGTATGGTTGAGCATAAGCAGACATGTTATTACCCTAAGATTTTACTATATAAGAAAGAGAAAATATACGAGTTGAAATGATTAGAAAATAATAGATTTAAACAAAAGGAAGAAATAAAAAAGAGTTAGGGACAGAAGTTAAAATTTAACTTTAAATCATGTATTAATGTAAAGCTAATTCTGAAAGGAAGGTTGGCATTAAATGATTCATATCGTGTATAGAAATACCTTTTGTTAAACGATAAGGAGAAAAGCAAATTACTATTTAAGTTGCTCGATTAACTTGAGACCGGAAAAGGTATGCAAAGTATTCAAGGAAAAAAAAGAAAAGGGAGGAGGAGATCTAATTTCCGGAAGGAGAACAATAAAAAACCTCGGACAAAATAAAAGATGGAAAATGGGGTTTCGCTTTATACAAGACAATGGATTACTCTATCCTTGAATTAAACTTTAAAACAAAAAAACAAAAAAACAAAGTGTATCTATACAAATATTGATACAAACAAAAAGTAGTTTCCGAGTATTCTTTTTTTTTAAAAATAATAATAGTAATAAATATAAACTATGAAGGAAAGTATTTCTTCCTTACTTTTAAACTTTTTGATTTTTTAAAGGACAAACCAGAAATGCAGAGATTCTTTATTCTTCTTTTCGAGTTTTTAAATCCAAGGTTACTTTTTCTTTTTTCTTACACTGGTGATATCTTCTATTCCTCGATAAATATAGTTTTCGTTCGTTAAAGTCTGTATGTTTCCTTTTTTTCGAACAACTGTTTTTTTATTCTTTTCTATTTTAGCTTTTACTTTTCTTATTTTTAAAGATTTTTCTGGAATGCTATGTAAGAAGAAGAGAAAAAGGAATTTTTTAATTATTACTCTTTTGCACTAAGGACAGAATTTTTTTTTTTTTCATTTTTACTTTTTTAAAAGAAAAAAAAGGGTGTTAGAATAAAATTTGCTTCAGCATGTTACTGCAAGAGCAAATTGAAGCGTAAAAAGAAAAAATGAAAACGGCAAAATTAAAAAAAGATAAAAAGAAAAAAGTATGAAAGGATCATATACATAACAACGAATATGTATAACAGGGAAAGATAAGAGGGAGAGCATGAGATGATAAATGGAAAAAAAAAAGATAAGAAAAAAAAAAGAAAAAGAAGAGAAGTAAAAAAAAATAATAGTGAGAATTCGAATCTAAGAAAGAGAGTAAGAGAGGAATTTTTTTCTTTTTTTTTTTGTTTAAATTTCTAGTTTTATAAATTAGGAAGAAATACAGAACAAGAAAGTTTAAGTTAAAAAAGCAATAAATCTTTTTAAAAACTTTCTTATAATTTCTATTTTTTTTTCCCCTTCATTTCAAATTAAAATTAATTGTTTTCTTTTCTACCTTCAATCTTTTTTTTCCTAGTCTTCTACTTCTTAATTGCTTTACTAAAGAAAAAGAAGATGAAGGAGAAATAAAATCTTTTCTTACACAGTAGAAAATATATCTCTGGGTCAAAAAAGAAAAAAAAAAAAAAAAAAAGGGGGGGGGGGGGGGGGCGAAAAGCAAAAGTGAAAAGAGAGTAAGAGACTAAAATGCAGACTTAAATAAGCTGAAGAAGAGAAGCAAGAAAGTAGTATAGACTTGAATGATAATTTAAATGAGTAGATGCATGAAATTAAATCAGGTAGTAGACGATCGGTGGAGAGAAAAAAAAAAAAGAAAAAAGACAAGGAATAATTAAAAAATTTAAAAGAAAAAAAAAAAACAAGAGGAATTCTAAAAAAGATTTTAAATCTGGAAAGAGAGAGAAGGATAACATTTAACCCACCTTTTTTTTTTGATTTTTTATTATTTTATTTTCCGCTGAACTCTTTTCTTGTAGTTGATTTCAACGAAATAAAATAAGAATGGATCAATGTGGTCAAATGGAATGGAAGAAAAATTCTTCACCACCAAAAACGATTTTAATAGTATAGTTTATTGAATGGAATAGGATTGAAATGGATTGGATTTCAAGAATGAAAATGAATGAGAGAGAGGGAGAAGGAGAGAGACAGGAATTGAGAGAAGGAAGAATGAACAGTCAAGAAAATGAAGTATTTTTTTGACTTTTTCCACTTTTTTTTTTTTTTTTTTTTTTTTTTGTATAAAGACTTTGTCCAACTCACGTGAATAAGTGGGATGAATCACATGTGTTCTTTAATTCATTTTCTTTGAATATTTTTAATGTTAAAGTACGGATGCAGATAATGATGGTTTGGAAAAAATGCATGAGGATGGAATGCTCTAGGAAGAAGGTTGGATAAAATAAATTTACACCTTCATTTTAATATTAACAAAAAAAATTGTAAAAAAAAAAAAAAAAAAAAGGAGTATTAGTAGAATTAATAGTATACTTAAAGTTTAGATAGTAGTAAAGACCAAAAAACACATGAAGAAAGAGTTAAATAGATCTTTTCCTTTTGTTTTTTTAAAAATAAAATAAAATAAAATAAAAAGCATGAAGAATTTATACCTATTGAAAAGTAACAAAATCTAAAAAAAACCATTAATTAAAGCATTAAAAAAATGTAAGTATTGAAGGGCAAAGGAGGTTCTAAGGATACAAATGGGTAGGGTTTGAAAATCAGTAAAGTATATAAAAAATTTAATGGTTTTGAATAATGGATAATGATGAAAAATAAGTATCATTATATTTTGAAAGGGTGAGTGTTTAGTTTAAAAAATTGAAAAAGACGGCCAGAAAAAAAAAAAACAAGAGGAATTCTAAAAAAGATTTTAAATCTGGAAAG